GAAAATAATAAATAATGTGTCAAAGTCCAAATAAAGTCCAAATAAACATGGTGCAAATCCTCAGTAAAAAATAGATATAAATATTTACTATACTATAAATAGTTACATAACGAAACTAGATTCAATATGGAACATCCTTAGGTTTTATGTGCCAGCATGGATATGGTTGTCTATCGATATGGATTTGGATATGGTTGTCTGCAATGCAGACAAACAGCTGCACCTTCATTTGTGTCTTTTGAAAACAGCAAGAGCAGCAGTTCGTCTTTGCTGTGTCACTGTTTTGTCATGTTTCTGTGCTGCTGTGCATGCAAAAGTACTTAGTATGAGAATTATTTCATGCAAAACTTTTTTTTTTTTGCGTTTTATTTAGCCGCGCATAAATGTATGCCTATCTCTCATTCCGTGTTGTTCAAAAAGCTCAGTGTTGGTCCACAAACAAAAGTGAAACCTATGCTTATTGGTTGTGATATAGCGAGTTTAAACCAATCTGGGCATGGAGGAGGGACAATGCATCAATGTATCATGTCTGATTTGTCCGGAGACACAGTGACGAGCGTTTCTTTGTCAAATCAGCGTTGTCAAATGTTGATGACGTAACCGCACTGATTCCGGAGCCTCTGAAAGTCCACGAATGTTATGTGATACAGCACTGGAAAGCTGAGATTCTCTTCTTTATGCCAATCTTTGAATTGTATGAATGGGATCAGCGGATCAAAAGTTATTAAACATTTAAGAGCAATACTTATTTTTAGTCGCGGGCGGCTGTCTCGGTCTTTAAGGGTTAAAACCGTTAATATGCAATTGTTCATGGTATGATAATCGTGCACGTTCAAATCGTGGTAAACCGTCATACCGGTATATTGTTACAACCCTAGTCAGCATGGAACATTGAATGAAAAGTGACTTCTAGCCTCTCTACAATGGCACCACAAATCGGTGCTCACTCCCTGACCGGAAGTGCTGGAAATGCTGTAGGTCTTGACGAGAAGGTGGAGGTACTGTAACAGCTGATTCTAACAGGATGTCAGCGTCAACTCTTCCCATTCACTTTGGAACTGAATTGCCGAACTGAATTGTGGATCCATCGAAACTGTTTCAGTGGTGTTTCTCGCTGCAGAAGTTGGGACTTTCTCAACTTTTCAAGTGCCAAAGGAAGCGTCAGCCAATCAGAATGCTTTATGCAAATACACCAGGCCAGACAGTAGCTGATTGCTGACTAATTTCATTGGCTGACGCTGCTATGACCATCATTTCATCCCCAACTTCACACACGCCTGTGAAGCGTTGACGTTGAAGCCCCGTGCACAAGAGGGGGCAGTTCCAGTTGCTATCCTTAAGGCAAGCATCAGTGATTTGAACTTGATCCGAGCTTCAAACTGTAACCAATGCAGCGAAATGAAGAGAGGTGTTACATGGGCTCACTTTGGCTCATTGTAGACCAGATGAAACACTTCTTTTGTGTTTTTTTTTGGAGGGACAACTTAACTGTTTTATGTTCAATCCACTTAAATTCATTGCATAAATGATAAAGTAAACTTGTGAGGTACCAAGCATTTTTACAGTGTAGGAGCAGTTGTGTGCACATACGTATTGTGTTTCTGTTTGTTTTTAATATTAAACTTGCGATTGATTGGCAACATTTGGGCTGTTGCATATTTTAAAAAAGGTGGGCAAGTTAAAAGAAGCTTAACTTTTTTTTTCTCATGTCTCCAAACTCTTTTAATGTATTCAACTACTGTGTATCTATATTTTTGAAGGGATAATTAAACATAATTAAAAAAAATAAATATTCTGTCATTATTTATTCATTCTTCACTTGTCTTCACTTGTTTGAGTTTCTTTCTCTTGCTGAAGATATACTGAAGAATGTTGGAAAGCTGCAGCCATTGACATCCATAATATTTTTTTGTTTGAAATTGAGCTTATACTCGCGTGCCCGGTGTCTTTCTTTATTGCAATTTCTGCATTTACCCAATGGATGTCAATGGCTGCTTTTTTCCCCCAGCATTCTTCAAATTATCTTCTTTTGTGTTCAAGGGATGAAAGAAATTAATAAAAGTTTAGACCCACTTGAGTGTGAATTAGTTTTTACTGCTGGGTTAACTTTCCTCTTAGCAAAAAAATGCATTTTTTGTCAGTTTTTTTTTAACTAAATGTCTTATATTTTATGAAAAAAGTGTACAGTAAGTGGTTTGTGCCACAAAGTCACAATTATAGGTGTTGTAAGTTGCTACAGGTTTGCTGTGCTTTTAGTGTGGCACTATTTATGGCATCTTTTTAGTCATTTCATATCAATTTTATAGGGCCCTACTGTGTTGTTGCTAAGGTGTTCTAGATGGTTGCTTAGTAGCCCCTAAAAAGCTTCTGTGGCTGCAGTCAGATAACAGCATAATACTCTGAGACTAATCCACTCTGAAATTGTTCATATGTTTCTTTACTTTGTTTTATTTTTAATGTTTTTGAAGTTGACTGAAATTGTATTTTTTTTACAGCATCTACTTTTCATTCCAGATTAAGGTCTTTTTTCACACTTTTTCCCAGTTTTGAATGACATTTTCTATGATTAACTTAAGTGGTTTTCATATCCAAATTCTAGTGGTGGTAATTAATATTTTGTTATTTATGTGTTAAATATTATAAAATATATCTAAAAAAATATTAACTTTAAAAAAATCATTAAGGATACAGTTGTCAGTCCATTTTTACTTCATGAACACATTTTTATATGTGGTATGTGAAATGTTTACTATTGCCAGATTATTATGGAATTTGATTATTTCTTTAAGTTTTATGTTGTCATCTTTATTTACAATTTGATACACACATTGTACAGTCCATTTATGTCTACTCCGAGTTTAGATATGAATGTTATTATATTATATGAGTTCTAAACTTTCTTTTATTTAATTATTTACACTTTAAGTTTGCTTTCATCTCTAAGGTTCGTGGTGATATTCACAGCTCCGATTAGAATAGAAATGGGATGAACTTTATTGCCTCTTTCACACAGACAGTATTCAAGCTGTTCCTGGCTGCTGTTGTAGAACAGGATATTTTGAGAGTCACACCTGCTAGTAAATACAGTTATTAATTTCAAACACTGTGTGAATGTACTCTTGTCCCTAGATACGACTTGTGGTCCCTTCCTGAATATCAGTCTATTTATTTTAAAGTCTATTTTGAAGTTGGTTTTTCAGACCTTTCAACATGTTTAGACAGATCCTCATCAACGCATATCCAGTTTCACTGTTTTGTTGAATACCTACACCATTGGAGATATTTGATGAGTGATACATAGACTAGTTTGATTCTTGTAACAACACATACATAAAAATGGTCATTTTAGTTGTTCCTTTATGCATTGAGTATCAGAGATGAGCAGAACATTCTGTTTTAAAGCAGATCCTGGAGAAATCTGACAAAGTGTTGCTGCTTTTGACCAATATAGCTCTTTGATTAGCTGATGAATCATATTTCTGCTCTTCATAGCACTCTTTCTACACTCTGAAGTGTCTGAGGGAGACAGAGTGCTGAATTTTTTACACAAAGTGCTGATCAACAGTTAGCCTGACTTAATGCTTTATTAGGAGAGGGACCATATATGGTAGCTTCATTGGCATTGATGACTTGACTATGAAAATAAATAATATCTGTTTAATTGATTCTCACAGACAAAAAATGCAAGTGGTACTGTTGCCTTGGAACATTTGCTTTGGAAATACTACTGGATGTAGCTGTTTTTATTTTAAATGTTTTTAGAACCTTTGGAAAATGTATCATGGCAATGCCTCAATGGATTTGGACATGCAATATTGAATCACCATGGTATCTTTTCTTGATATATTCTCCAATAATTATAAAATAGCATTTATATTTGGTGCAGAATTTTCTGTTCTAATGTTTGAAGTCATTTTGAAGTATACTGTAAACTGATCATTGATCAATATGAGAGATACAATACAGCACGATTCACAAATGTTGTTCTAATTCGAGCTTTCAGTTCATCAATTAATCCTGTAAAATATATCACAGTTTCCACAACAATATCGAACAGCACTTCAGTGTTAAAAATAACAATATGTGTTTTGTCTTTTTGAGCACTAGATTATAATTTTAGGATGATTCAGATATGGATAGGGCTGCACAATGTATCATTTCAGCATCGATATCGCAATGTGTGGATTCGCAATAGTCAGCGCAGGATCTGCAATATCAAGTTGAGTTTACAGTTGAGCAGGAGTAGTAACCATGATGGAGTAAAAATTTATCCTTTTCATGTGTTTTAAGGACTGTGACTGCTTGAGAAATTCAGAAGAGCTTCAAGATTTATTAAGGAACAAGAAACTGTATCATTTGTAACTTAAATAAAGGGTAATCTGGCAGAATTATTAATAGGATGAAGACTATAGTGTTATTTTACATTTGCGTATGAAATGAATGCTACTAAAAATGTACAGTAGTGTATATTTTATTCGTTTAATCTTTGCTTTGATGTATTTATCAGTGCTTGAAATTTGCATTTTATTTTTAAACTCAAATGATTCAATCCCCTTCAGAATCGTCACAATAGTTTGCTTTCCAAAATAAAGCAATCTGGTTGAATTGTATTTATATCGCAATATTTATTGCAGAAAAACGAAATATAAGAACGTCAGATTTTTTTAAATATTGTACAGCCCAAATTCAGAATTATGTGACACTGAAGACTTGATGCTGACAATTTTGATTTGCCATCAAATGAATAAATTAAAATTTTAATTATATTAAAACAATTAAAAGGATGTTAAATTACAATATTTTAGCAATTATCTATATTTATTTGTGAAATTCAAAAACCAATAGAAATGCTAAATGTCATGCATATTGAATTCAAATAAGGTTTACTGGTTTTCCTATAAGTGTGGGTCTGTTGGTTTTTTGGGTTTCTTTATGAGATTTCTCAATTTAAAACGTGTGTTATGTGATTTGTAATTAAAGTGTTTTTTTTTTTTAAATAGAGGATTTGTGTATGACAGCCGGAATAATCTTCAGATGCGAGGACTTGTTGTGCTGCTAATGTCAAAAGCTGCCGGTCCGAGTAGCAGTGACCCGATCCATGACAGTATGGTCAGCGGCATCTACCCCAGGTAAAAAGACCTTTCTTACTCATTTACTCCCCTTTCTCAGGGTCACTGGGGCTTGAACAGCTTCAAGCTTTGGCCATTAGTGAGAAATGATTGCACACACACACACACACACACACAGACACACACACACAGACATGCACAGAGAAAGAGAGAGAAAAACCAGACTGAAAGATGTTTCAAGTACAATAGAAAGCTGAGTATAAACGGCAGCTTTTGTAGCATTGTGTTCATAGATTCAGTGACAGTCTTTAAACCTGTAAAACTTACAGTGTCATATTTGATATGTGAAACGTGAACATGGTCAACCTTACTGAAAAACCCACGGTACAGAATCTACTACATGCCTGATGGTGTCTGAATGATCATTTTTAATACAAAAAAAAAGTATTTTAGCATAATTCTAGCCTTTTGTTAGCCATGATTACTGTTAAGTCAGCTTTTAATGAGGTTATGTCTACATTATGTGAAGTATTTGTATAAATACTTTGAAATGTGTGCATCATAATTGAGCAAGATTTTGAGCAATGTTTATTTGTTGTCATTATATTACATATCATTTTATTTTTTGCCTTCATCATTTAAAACTAAAGAGCTTTGATCATAAAATTAAGCATTTAAGTATCATCTTACTAAGACATATTAATGGCAAGAAGATACTCAATGACAACTGATATTTCTGTGCATTTTATGTAAGTCGACTGCTATACTGTTACAAAAATCTACTTCTATTACAAGCAACGGACAATCGATTTACATTACAAGCTACCTGAATTTCATCAGACTTTTGGATATATTAAAAACATCATCTGATCCCCATTTACTCTGATCCCTCAAAGCGACTGAAATTCCTACATTATGAGTGTTTTTTTTTTTGTAGTTTATAAATCATTTTAAAGGATTTTGTATTAAGGTCCCCAAAATGCTGTTATCTTGTATATGAGAGACCAAAGCTTTTAAGACTTTACTCATTTTTTACACTGTACAAAGCGATTAGTTGGCTTTACTTAAACCGTGTGTGGTGTTGGGGATGTTTCATCCACTCTGGGGTGATTTTGAGTTTTAATTTGGTCACAACTTTCTCTTTGGTTTAGCAAATGAAATGATTTTTTAACAAATCTTACTTTAACACATATTTTAGGCAAATTTACAACAATACACTCTGGGCAAATTTAATGAAAGGGTAGTAAATTTCAACCAAACAAAACGGTTAAAAAAGTGAGTAAACCTTTATGCCTCAATTAATTAAATGAATTATGTATTATTAGAAATATCAAGTTAAGTCAAATCAACAGTTCCAAATTACAAAGTGTTTATGCAATTTTTAAAATAAAGTCAACTTGTCGATACTTAAAGTAATCAGTTTACTCATTTATTTTTAAAGGTTCAACACACCCTGGATCCTTTTTGAGATTTTACACAGATTTGTTTGTGTGTGTTGAGCATCAATTAAGACCACGTTAGCACTTGTCAGCTTTAATTATGGGTAAAACTGGAGTATTTTGAGCTAATTTTCAGTCAGCCAATTTTATCTTCCGGGTTTAAAATCATCAAAATCGGTGACATAGCGCTCATCTGCTAGTGGAGTGATGACACGTAAATTTCTCATTATTATTCAAAGCTGTGTTTTCTTATCCTATGAGAAGACCATGCTTCCTAATTATTCATGAGAGCACGTGTTTCCGAAGGCAAGACAGACCTGCCAAAGCTGCGAGACCCTATGACTGGGTGAGACCGCGTCCGTGCACAGCAAGCAGTATATAGCCCTTGATGAAGGGTTGTATGTGTTTGTTTTCCATGATTCACAGGGTTTGTTGCATGTTTTTCCCCGTGATGCTGTCAGGGTCGATACAGCAAAACTGTTGGTTTGCAGCAAGCATTTTTGTAGAATTTCATCATTTGAGTTTGTTACCATTCAGACACAATCCCTTTACCTGTGCTGCTATGTTTGCACATGTTTAAAATTTTCCAGATTACCGGCAGGGCTAAAGGTTGGAATAGATATAGCAAGAGACCTGCTGCACTGCTATCCACTGTGTCTGCATTCAGACCTGAGGATTAAGGAGGAGAGAAGTCCTCCTTATTTATAGTGTTTACATGATTATCTTTATAATGACAATATGAAATTACAAATAACAAATGTAGCAGGGCATTAAAATACTGTTTATTTCTTTGCATTTTAACTTTGTAAACTAAAATAATCTGTCTCCTCATGGTTTGTGTCTCATTTTGTGAACCAACTGACAAGAGTTGTTTGCTCCCCTCTTTTTCCCCTTCACTGCCGGCCACACCCATTTCTCCCTCCTCTCGCAGAGCTTCAGAAGCTTTTTTTTTAATTCTGAGGTAGACTTGAACCGAAAGAGGGGGGGTTTCATGGTCCTTTAAAGTAATAAATCACTTCAGTCTTTCTGCTTTAGAATTTTATCTTTAAATCACTGTTTCTTGCAGTTTCAATTAGGGGTGTCAAAATTAATCGTTTCTTCGGTGCCCCGCGATGCAGACGCGGACAATTCGGTATCGGTTCAGTAAAGACCATAACCAGTTATTACTGACGTCATTTACCTCATATGCGCTCTGTCGTGAGGGAGGCGAGCGCGAGTATTTACAACGTTCTAACTACTTAAAACTCATAAACTGTGCACAATTTCACTGAGTGTGTTTACTGGATCAGTCTTTCACTGACATATACAACAAAAGCCCTTAAATGAAATGAAAGTACTCCATTTCTCTCTCTCTCTCTCTCTCTCTCTCTCTCTCTCTCTCTCTCTCTCTCTCTCTCACACACACACAAACACACACTCAGACACACAGTGGCCCATTTGACCTGCTGGCATGACTTTTCTTCTCCTCTCGGCTGTTTTATAGCGTTACTTCTGGATACAGAAACGAGCACGTGTCTGCAGAGTTTTTTCCACCGTGTCTATCATACATCAGCTGTGAGATCGCCGCCTGCCGCTTATCAGTATCAGTATCACTCATCTGTGAAGGTCCAATCGCAACCGTTTTTGTTGAGGGTGTGACCAATCAAAGAGGTGTAGGGGAACTAGACAAGGATCAGAAATTGAGCTGGATATTTATATTTGTTTATATTATTTGCTAAATGCTCGTGTTGTTTAAAGGTACAGTTTATATTTCTGACTGTTTGTATTAAATGACAAAATTGTATTACAAATAGTATATAAATATAAATATATTCATACATTTTAATACAAGAACTGCTGCTGTGAAGAAAATATAAAACTGTGTATGAAAACCGTCAATGCACCGTGGTGCACCGAAATATCGAATTGAACCGAATCGATGGCATGATAATCCGAACCGAACCGTGAGACTAATGTAGGTTCACAACTCTAGTTTCAATATAGATCAATTGTGAAATTTACTAACAATTTCTTAGTAATAATAGTTTTTACTTCATTTTTTTGTGTGTATGATATATCATCCAAAACGTAAAATATGCGTATGAAGACATTTTGAGATGTTGCTTTCAAATATTTTATCTAAACAACTCATTTTATGCTCTCTTTACACACCGTTTTGCTTTCAGTAGATGCATTTTAAAAGAACAGATTGTCCATGAAGTCTCTCTAGGTCATGAAAAGTCAAAGTAATTACATAAGAATTTGGAAAAGAGTTAAATGTTGTTTAAGCAACAAAAACTACTTTTGTGCCTCCTCTGCTGCTCTGTGGAGAAGTTTTTGCAGAGAAACAAATCTAATACACTCGTTGGGTATTGTGTTACAGCAGACACTGTTTGTTAAAGTTGTCTTCAACTCTTTAAATAAAGTTTGCCTGCTGAAATCCACACCCTGATGAAGGATATTCAAGCTGCAATGCATGGGTTGTGGTTTTTTAACTGTAGCCCATTTTGTAATATAGGCATTTTAATATCTTTACCTTGTTATTTCAGTTTTTTTTTCAGTAGTGTTAGATATCATTTTAGGAGTATAGCATGTCACCCCGCAGGACATGTCAACTTCCTGAAAGTATTTCATGTCAGCGTATAAACGCTTGCTTGTGTGTGTGTGTGTGTGTTCATTGGTGGAGAGAGATTAATAATAATTAAATAGAAAAAAGAAGACTTATTCTTGGCCTGCATCCGAGCATCAGGTTTAGAGAACTTTTTCATTTGGACACCTTGAAAGCTACAGGCTGCTGAAGATTTTATTCCCGAGGTTCACATTTCACATGAGGCGATTCAGAAATGAAGCCGTTTTCTCTTTCCAGAAGTGAACGTATGAAAAAAGAAAATATATGTCGTTTTTAAATGAAGAATTGAATTCAAAGTGATCAAGGTCTATCTATGGTAATGGTAGCCATATTGTTGCACGCATGCATAATAGACAGATCATCGGAAACATGAAATAAAAGAGTGCAGGGTAAATGGTGTCTAGTTATGGACACACACTCATTTTGCATCTCAGAAGTACTCCTGCTCTAAACATGCTAGTGTGTGCGCGCAAGTCCTTTGGCTGCAGTGCCAGGGAGTTACCAGAAGCGGCTGTTGTACTTGGCAGCGCGTGAGTGTGTGTGTGAGCTGTCTGAATGAACTCTTTCTCTCTTGCGGAGCGGGGGAAGAGTGTGTCTCCTCCAGTTTTTCCCCTTATTCTCTTACTTCTACAACCTCACGTTTCCCTCTAAACAGGAAGTGACCTCATAGTTCCACAGCTGGGAGGTGGATGTCATGGAAACAAGGTGGTGATGTAGTTGTCCTGAGACTTGTTAGACTCAAGGCTAGAGCTCATTGTGGGTGTGGGTGGGTATGTGTGTGTGTTACAAAAGAGAGTGTTTGTGTAACACACATACTCATAGTGGGTAAATGTTAACTTCTTTTACTTTTTTTGTCATATAGACTTTAGCAACCATGAAAAGCTATTTTTTTAAGGAATATCTTTAATTTGGTTGTAAATATCTTTTAAAAATGAATAAAGTTTTGTCCGATCCAAATTTAAAAGAACATTCACAATCATCTGAATCTGATATTTTTAATTAATAAGGTGATC